TAACAGGGTTACAAAAATAAAAGAAGTTTTAATAAATCAGCTCGACAGGTTCAGTGCTTGAGCCAAACAGACAAAATATCGCTCGAGTGTGTGTCCTCAATTTCTTTTAACAAGAACTTCCCAATAGCGAGGAAGAGGGAGGGTGAGGAGGAGTAAAGGGAGAAGGGAGGGAGGGGGAGAGAAAATCATTTGAGTAGCTAAATGAAATTAGCAGCTTTAAAGAGCCTGAGGGCAAAGTGGAGTCGTGTCCCCCGTGGCTACGCTTTAGAGAAGGAGGGAATGAATTAAGCTTGACTGGCTCCTCTCCTTCTCTACCACCTCCTCCTTCTCCTCTCTCCCTCGCTTCTTACTCCCTCACTTCTTTTCTGGTTTTAACTAATATGAAGGGTGAGATGGAGGGAGGGGGGAAGGGGGATGAGGAATGAATGAGGGGTATAAAAGCAGCTCGTGAAGGTGAGGACAGGCTGGAGCTCTTCTTTGCCGAACAAGTTTTCTGACTGTCTTTCTTGTTGGCTTCTAATTTTGGACTTTAGACTGACAATAAGTGAAAAAATTACTTCATTTGTTCCTTGTCTTTCTCTCTTACCTTTTTTTTTCTTCCCATTTGCATCTTGTTACCCTCTTGCATTTCTCCCTCTTCTTATTATTCCTTCTCTTGATACCCTCTTTTCTCTTCCTTGTGGGTGTCAGACATTTGGCCCCAGCTGTTGCTGCTTCCGCACCCAGGATTGAAGCATGAACCCTGGGGCATTCTCCAGCTCTGGCCCCCTGTCCTGGGCCATGTACCTGATGAGAAAAGGCCGGACAGGCAGCGGACTCTTTGGTAAAGCTAATTCTTCTTGACACCTTATAGCCATCATTATCACCTGGTCTCGTCATGGCACTTTTTTGTTTTTATTACGTTGAACTCAATGTTCATCGATGTTTTTGTCATGTATTGCGTGTTGTAGTGCCTTCCCATCATATGTGGCCACAATTAGCCAATGTTAATTTCTGTGACTGTGTTGTTCCATGAAGCTTTTCACACTGTAACCCCTCAGATGTTTTATTTTAAAACTACAATGGCACTTCTTCTTTTCTTGAATGATTTAGAGCTTCAGAGCTTCTTTCTTGGATTTCATAGGCGGTTCTCTGATTGTTTGGGGTCCCGGGTGGGTTCTAGGAGTTCTTTTGGGAGTTGTAGGTGTTACTCAAGACATGAGTAGAGAGATTTTAGAGGTCTGTGGGGTGTTGTAGGAATCTACCTGGTTCGTCACAGGGTTCAATTTATCCTTCAGACCCCAGTTTCTCTAGGAATTAAATGGAAAATTCCTCACATCACAATTTAAGTGCAATTCTGACATTCAGAGCCAATACTGGATTAGTGTAACCTTGATGTACCTGCTGGAAACGAGGGATTGGAGGCTGGGTTTTCATGCAGGCCACCAGAGTTCACAGACTTGCAATTAACATTGTTTTAGTTTCCTAATTCTAAACTTAATCATACCATAGCCACCATGTGCAGAAATTGTTTTGAGAATTAGATTAGAAAGAAAACCACTGACACTGAATGTCATCCAGGGTTTTTCAGAATCGTCCAATATAGATATTCCTGTCTGGCAATAGGTTGATCCTTCAAGTACTTGCAGTGGTATATAATCATGTTTGTCGTGTCCTTGGGGTGTTCCATTGGATTTTTTTCAGGTTTTTGGCATTTTGCATCAGCTCCGGGGGCCATAAATGTTTTGTTTTGAACCTGTCTGACTTGAACTTGGCACTAGGAGAGAATGTATAATGATCATTGTGAAAATATATCGCAGAACTGGATGGTCAAGAGTAAGTAGCAAACCAGCTTGAGTGTCCAGCAGTAGTAGTAAATTAATGCTGTGGTTGTAATCATAGATTGGTGCTCATATAGTTTTTTGGATTAGTGGCAGGATTTTAGAAACAAACATATTTGTTCGCAACAGGAAATATGTGCTTTTGAAGGCTGATCGTGAAATTTGATGGGATGATGGTGCAAATGTGCAATTTTTTGGGGGCATTACTTTTTTGAGTACAATATCCTTTGTTATTCCTGTCATTATTAGAAAGCCTTTGTCAAATCATAGGCCTTGATGGACCAGAAATTAAATAACAATTACAAGCTGAAAAACTTGTAATTATTGTAATCTTAAATCATTCAAGTTTTCTTTTATATATCTTTAATTTGAGGAATCTTTTTTTTTTTTTTTTGATGGATCCATAAATGAAAAAGTATTTCTACTGCAGCTGATAATATGAAGCAATGCTGGTATCAATAACTTCGATAGGTGATTGTGACTGCATATTGATTATGGATCAGAGGACTCTGACTGGTTCACATTACGGGCCAGTCAGTGGGAAACGCCGGCTGGGCGAAATCTAACTCCTCAACCTCTGTCGTGTTGTTTCTTTCTTTCTCTCTTCCTCTTCTGTTTTATTTGTGTATTTATACATTTATACAGTTTTTTAATTTAATGTCTTCCCCCTCGCACAAATACTTAGACGTCAATCTCCAAGTCTTAAGGGACTGTACAGCAAGGCTGTTTTGGTCAAAACAGAACAAAATCCGTGATCCGAGATGAATTCAGGAATTGCATTTAAAATCATCTATTGTACATTTTCAACTAAATATTAAAATTTCAGACATTTTGTGGCAACACAACGCATCTTAAAGCATTTTTTTTTCACACAGTGGCACAAATAACCAACAGGATATACATGTATGATGATACATGACAATATGAATTGCTATGAGCATCTAAACTCCCTTTGTTTCTATAGAATCTGTACACTTGGCATAATGCCTAAATTTTTCACAGATATATAGTTTCAAAGCATCCTCCAGAGTTTGAATTATTTATAAGTGTGGTTCTATGAGGAATAAATGTCCAGTGTCAGATTTAATGACACTAACTTTGATGAAATTGCAGGTTGACAGAAGTGCTTTAGCTGCAGGTTGTTGTGTTTGTAAGAAAAGTGCACTGAATACAAGCCGAAGAATGTAAGGAAAATGTGTTAATTATTAGTTTCATTGTTCATCTTGTTTCTAACTTTTTATGCAATTTAACAATCAGTGACAGTCAGTTTTCAGCATGCAATTTTGAAGCGTTTGAATTCATCCAAAGATGATCTTCAGATGACAAGAGAAAAAGGACAAATAGGCCCTCGACGAGGAAGTGAAAAATAGATATTTCCGAGGGCAAATCACGTCATATCCACCTCAGGCCAAGACGAGAGTGGAGGCATTTACATTTTTTATCATCCCCCCTTTGGCTACAGTGGGATGGCTGCAGAGGCAGACTGGCGTTTCCCTAAAACTCATCCGACAGCGTGTTGATTTAACTCAAATCAAATAGACTGACTCCCGAAAACACTTTACTGAAACAGGCAGGTGCACAGGATGCTGTATACCCAACGCTTAACCAATAAAGTAAAGTTTGCTGGGAACCAAAAAATACCTTTAACGTTGAGCCAGAGTACACACACACGTTTCTTTTTTTTTAATAAAAGATAAGTAACTTTTTGAAATTTAAGATAAATATTATATCTTAAACTTAAGTTGCCATATCTAATATGATTTACCTCAAACACAAGTACTTGAATTTTCTTGGAGATAACATCACGTATTATTATTTCTCCATATAATCATGTCATGGCAAAAGTACCAAATCAATATTTTGTGAAACACAGTTCTCATCTTTGTTTGAATGAGAATAAGCTGGGTAAGAATTAAAGCCATAACTTAAGGAATTCATTTAATTTAATTTACAATTTTCTTAAAAGATGAATGATTTTGTTATCCTCATTTGAATAAATACCATGTTAAAAAAAAAAGGTTTTATCTCATGGTTTTTCTTAACCTTTATTCAACCATTGAGCAATAATAATGAGTTACCACAAATAACAGATAACAAAATATGCCACAAACCAGAATTCAATAGAAATGTAATTGTACAACCATGAGTACTTTCTCTGATATAATCAGATTTAATCTTAGTCTTAATCTATATAGCACCTTGAAATAATGCTGGCTGAATACAAATCATGAATATAGATAAGACCATACTAAAACTTAATAAGGCAAACACATTAATCAGTAAAAGAGAGTACAGCTTCTGTAAAAATGATTTGAAATTTTATGACAAAAAGTAGTCTCTTTGTGAATTTAAATCATGATTTGTGATCTCTGCCTGAGAGAAAGAAAATTAGATTTTATTGAAGTAAACTGGGATATTAAAGTTAAAAAGTGGCTCAAAATAAATCAGGACATGTTTTAAGTCATACTTTAACTTTTTCTGTTGGTCATAAACTACATTTCTTTTAAATTTAAAGTCTGGCTTCAGCGCTCAGTGTACTTTGTGATGGTGATTTTCTGCTGTTCATTCAGTCAGTGTTTCAGGAGGAAACACGAGGCCAGTGTCAGGACTTAGATCACCTACTGCCCCCTATTGTCTATATCCGGTACTGACAGCCTGCTTTGGATGCACTGCCTTTGCCATCAACCGCGGTGACAGCATTTATCACTCCTCAGAGGAAAACAGAGTTGATTTTGGGCGATTTGGAAAATGCTTTTTTGGCATAAGTTGTGACATTTTATCAAATTCTGTCATTTTAATTTTGAGAAAGTCTTTTTATACGCATTTATCTGCACTTTTTGCCCACTCTTTAAGTTGCTTGTTCAGATTTCATACACACAGTATTCCATAGTTTAAACAACATGACCCTGCGTTAAATCACAATGTTGTATTTGACCATATTCAAAGAGATGCAGTCTTCTCAAGCGCAAGAGGAAGTGCAGCGCTGCTTTTTTGTCACTCCCCCTTCTTTTTCGTCCTAAACCCCGCCTACTCTCGGACGGACATAACGCTGATTGGTCAATCCCCTTCTGGTGACAGCTAACGGCGAGGCTCTCCATTGGCTGAGAGCTGCTCCGCACACAGATGAGATGCAAATCCATGAGGTCTGCCGGTAAAAGCCTGGCGCTGTCAGCGGGGATGTCCATTCATCTAAGAGGGGAGGGGAGAGAGACATAGCCGGGGAGCAGAGAGGGAGCGCGGCTCGTATGTGTCGGTGTGTTCGGTACAGGCTATTAAAAGCAGGATGAAAGGAGAATTAAAGTAAAACACTTCAGATTTACTTTCCCTTTGTCTGCATGTTTTGACCACTTTTGATGCCAAACGTGTGGAAGCTTAATTTCAGTTGCGAGGAGACAGAAGGAGCTTTCTAAAAATCCACTGACTTCTATTCCGAAAGGTAGAAACACACAAGTGTTTTTGCCCAAGTGTTGGAAATCTGCTTTGGACATCGTTTTGTTGTGGGCTTTTTACGCACAAAGGCTGAAACCCGGCGCGTCTGGACGAGATAAAGCACCGCAACTGGGCCACTTTCCACGGAGAGATAAGAAGAAGTCCACAAAGTGACAAGCTGTCGACGAATGAACAGAAAAACATCTGTTTATTGATTTCCAAGACGAAATCGGGAGGTTTATAGTAAAGATCGGGGAAGTTGAGTATCTGTGGGCGCACTGTGGCGCACAAATGGTGTTCCTGTGGGACGCAAAATACGGTAAAAGTAATTTGTTTATGCATTTATTCATTCACATTAACCCTGTGGGGCGTTATATGACACTGGGCGTGTTAGAGTATCACATCCAGCAACGTGGTCTGTATTAATGCAATGAGTGAAGGAAGAATTCAACAAAATCCTCCATACATTTCCATCCTCTCTGTTACTCTGCATCGGATGCCGGAGCTGGAACTGTCTTCCACTGTTTATTCAAGTCAACATGTGCGAGTCATCTGCTCATAAAAGAAAACAGAAAGAGCAGAAACACTGGCTGAAGATATTGTTTTATGTGTGCGTTTATGATGGTGTTGTGTTCAGGAACCTCGCACTGTTTCCCTTTAGATTTAATTCTAATATCTGTGGCGTTCATGTAATTTAGAAATCTTCTTCTCTTTTTTAAGACTTAATCTAACTTCTCCCATTGTAAAGCCGCACACACAAACACTGACAGTTATGCTATAACTTGTCAATTATTAAATCTGCTTGTCAATATGAAGTACTGGAACCACAGTGTGCGTTGTAAAAAGATTATAAACTAAAATCTTGGTTCCACTTCATTTGGATTGTCCGTCTACAGATCGTTTGTAGAGTGTTTGTAACATTTTAACAGCTTATTAGCTGCTGTTTTACACATAAAGGTTTGGTTAGACACAGAAAACATCTGGCTTAGGGTATGTTCATGAATTGTTAAAAGTCCACAAGCAAATGTTACAAATACTCTGGAAACTGTTTGTATCTCTAGGTTAACTATCCAAAAACTAAAATCCATCCTACAATATAACACGTTTAATATCATGTTAAAGCTAAAAGTTCCCCATATAGTGCCCACTCATATTTATACACTTTGATGCTCTGAAAACACTTTTATACATACTGTATATATATATTATAATATGACTATGATGCCTTACAATGTATGGAGTCTCTTGAGATTTCTAGGACTGATATTAGACTTTTAAAATAAAATAAAATTGGTTATACATTTCTGCATAATTTATCTGGATATACCCGTCATCCTACAAAAGTAATTCTTTTTTTATCATCTCTTTTTGTTGCTTATTTCTTACATTCATCCAGTTTCTTTTATATTAGCTCATGCAAAACCTTCATAAAAAAGTTAAATTAAAGTTGACAAAATGATTAGTTTCTCGACCAGGTTATGTGCCACATCTAGATAAAATTAGAAACATTTATGATCCAAAATCACCTACCAACCATTGTTGCCAGTTCATCGCAGCTCATTTAGCTGCTGCTGAAGCACAACGGCACAAACTCTGACGGTTCAGCCTTTTGGTGCAGAGCCGACCCGGGCCGTAAGCACAATCTACAACCCCATTGCTTCCTTGACAAAGTCTCTTTTTAAAAACTGCTACTTTTATAACTTCTGTGTACTTTAAGATAAAGACATTCCACCTATATTGAATGCTTCACAGCTTATACTGATATAATAAAAATGAAATAGTCGACCCCAGTGTTTCACACTTGTAGTCCTTCAGCTTGTGCAGCTGCTCAGCTTTGGTGTATCAATCTGCAACTTTCCAGAAATGAGACATCAGTCAGGTTTTAAGTATCTTATATGCGCTCATATTTGACTCCAGATCTCAACGATATTAATGTTCCCCTTGTAGAAACCGCTGGCCGTTGCTCTCAGCGAGGTTGCAGTCGTACAGTATAGTAGCAGTAGGGTTTGGGGGTTTCAAACTGTAAACTAAACTCCAAACCGCCAGCATGTGGCTTCAATTGTGGGTTGGCTGACTGACAAACCAACAAGAGCCACTGACGCTGCAGGCACAGACTCATTTATCAGATTCCCTCTGGTTCATTCACTTTTCTCACCAGATGAGCTTCTCTTTATTATGTTAAGTTGGAAGTAGCGACCCTCAATTTAATTTCAAAAAGGCGGTGAGTGCAGGAGTGTTGCTGCTGTCTTTAGTTTCATGACTGCACATTCTGGTATTCAAGTCAGTGTGACCACAGTGTGTGTCATCATGCACTGAATATGAATGTATGTGTGTCACTATGTCTTTGAGTTTCATCTGTGTGGTTGTGTTGATGTCTGATTTCATACATCATCTTTCTTTCTGTTTCAGTGATTTTTTAAAAATAATTTTAGTCATCCAGCTGTCTTGGTATGATTACTGACATAAAATGAGTACAAGCTTCTATTACAGAAAGAAAAGGATTCAGATCAGATCAACCATAGTTCATTCATTCTTTTTTTTTAGCAATTAAAGTTGTTTGTGGCGTCAGAGTGCAGATAAAATATACCAAATCTACAGGATTATGAGTTGTGTTGTCCATTAATCCTTAATGTCAGAAAATATAGAAAAACCCAAAGTGACGTCTTCAAATGTTTTGTCCAGTTCAAAACCCAAAGATATTTAATTCATTATTATAGGGGACTAAGGAAAACTGGAAATATTCATATAGAAGCTGGAATCAGTGCCTTTTTCAAAAAATTAGTTGAATGATTAGATGAATCGATTAATTAACTCTTTTTTTGCACGATTCACCTCCTCTGGTTTTTGTCTTTCTATCACAAAACATCTCCAATCTGGGGATATTTATTGCGGCATAAAAGGTATTTTACTAACCTCATTTATCCTCCCTCAGACCCAGCCCCCGGCCGGCGTTACACCCCCCCCTCCACCACCCTCGGCTCGGGGGGGAAGATGGCCGAGGCCCTGCCCCTGGGCGCCCAGGAGGCCGGAGGTGGGGCCGCTCTGGTGGGCAAACTGCGCATGGCCGACCGCGGCATGGTGGAGGTACGATGACATGGGGCTAAATATATACACTCCTTGAATTTGTTATAAAATCCAATACTGAACAACTCAGCACAGCTCACACTTCTGAAGTACATGTGGTGTTTTTTTTTTTCAGGTGATCTCAGATCATCCAGGTGAGCTGGTGAAGACAGACAGTCCCAACTTCCTCTGCTCTGTGCTGCCCACACACTGGAGGTGTAACAAGACCCTGCCCATTGCTTTTAAGGTGTGTGTGTGTTACTTTATACGTCTAATCCACTAGGTTTAATGGCACGTTACTTTACAGATTAAGGTTTACACATATGATAAACAAATAAAGCAAAGATTAAACAACAAATAATTAAAATCAGCTCTACCTTGACCAACTATAACATTCAAATATTGCACCAGTCATCTAATCGTCATACATTTTTTTTAAATTTTGCTGATAAATAGTATTTTTACACCGCAGTACTACTACTATGACTTAGGTAAATTATCTGGATACTTAAGCACATCAAATTTTGGTTAGTTGTAAAATGAAACTAGAATTTTAGAGTTTCATTTAGAGATTCATTCATTCCTTCCTTCTTTACTTATCAGTTAATCTGTTGTTAATTTTATTCAGTTAATCTGTTAAATATTTAGTGTATAAAATGTAAATCTACCATAATATAAAATAAAGAAAAGCAACAAATCCTCATAGCTGTAATCAGTGAATCTTCCACATTTTTGCTTCATAATTGACTTGAACAATTAATTGATTCCCCTGTCAGTTATGTCAGTAGACAAACACACTCATCGACCAATTATTTCAGCACTAATGTCAGCTAATGGAGGCGTTTCACAGCGTCTGGAAAAAACAACTGAAGAGTTAAGTGAATGTAAATTATTGGGTTTTTTTTCACTTAACAGAGTGAATGCTCATTTTTAAGCATAATTATTTTGATCTAATAAATATTTGTCTCTAAACACGAAAAACCAGAATGCTCCGGGATGAGTAATTTTTCCGATTGGTTGAAGAGTGGTTTATTCTGAGGACAATTTTCAATCCAAAATGTTTTAAACACAAAATTACCAAATTTAGACATACATCGTTTTCACCTGACAGCGCTGAAAAGAATAATAAGACAATTAAGCGTCTGCTTTCTGTTGATGGAAATGCATTAGAAAGTGTGCTAATACAACCATTATTCTTTTGATTTCCTTTTATGGAAATTAGTTTGCCAATTTAGAGTGTTTTATACTGTATGAGAAAAAATAATAATTTCATACATCCATCTTCAGTGTTTACATGTGCAGTGCGATGGGTTCATTTTCTTTGCAGTTTATCCCCTCATGCATCGATGTCTGGGGATGTGGACGGCTTTCCTGCACTTTGAGACAAAATGCATTTGTGGAAAAGCAGCTTTTAGCCGCAGAACACACAACTGATTGATTTATTGAGTTTTATGCATTAGTGTTCGCACATGCGTGGGTCTGTGTGTGTGTGTGTGTGTGTGTGTGTGTGTGTGTGTGTGTGAGTTTGGTGCATTATGCATCATTATGGAGTGTCATGAGCGGATGTCACTGCCTTTTACTGATAATGGATGACTGTTAATGATACACACACACACACACACACACACACACACACACACACACACACACTTGGGTATATAGTATAGAGACACACATACCAATACACATTTCATTACATAAACACACTATACACAGGTAAAATGTGTATACACAGACAAATGTTTAAAGAATACACACACACACACACACACACACACACACACACACACACACACACACACACACACACATTGGACTTGGCCTGAGAGCATCATAATTGTTTCCTTTGTCTTGTTTATTCTGCTGGGTTGGTTTCATGCTAGTCACTCACGCCTCTGTGTGTGTGTGTGTGTGTGTGTGTGTGTGTGTGTGTGTGCGTGTGTGCTTATTATTTCTCCTCTCCCAGTTCTTGTGTGTAAACTATCTGCAAGCCAAGACCAGTATTTTCAAACCCAGTGAGTCACCACTGCTTTACTATTACAGAAGAATTTTATCCAGTCACATTCCACCACAGGCTCAGATCAATACTGTCGTTGGTAGATTATTGGAAATTCAGCACATTGACATTCACTCACATTCAAGGCCACTAAACAATAGAGTAAGACAAATATTCAATATTACTGTAAAACAATGCTTTTGTTTGATCTGAAAGGGGACTTAAGAGGGCGTTTTAAGGGGGAATTGGGGATTAACTGAGAGGTTAACCCCAAAGTGTCCCAGTTAGTGTGGACTGTGGTTACTCACTTGGAGAGCTCGGGGTTAAAAGAGAAACTGTCCGTAGTACAGTATCTGCTGTGGTCATTTGCACACTGATGGTTTGGTGCGATTAGCGTTAATATGGAAATCGGCTTCCCTGGCTGTGAATTTGCGTAGGTGTGGAGGAGGAGAATGTGCTCTCTAGTGCGCTCACAGAGTGGCACACATTGTCATTTTACGCATGTGTTTTGGGAGAGTTTCATCTTCCATTATTTTATTTCATAATTTGTATGTTTTAACATGAAATTTGAAGGTTCAAATAGCCTAAAGCTGTTTGCTTCTCTGAGTGACCTTTTTAAGGCCAGATAGAGAATCTGCTAACCCATTAGCATTTCATGTCCACCTTCATTTACTTTGGATCTAGCAGGATAAAAGCATGAGTCAAACTTCGTTATCGTCTGATGGTTAGAGGCCCACTGGAGCTGCTAAGTGACCGACACATTAGACTGTGGTTGTTCGGTGTGAATGTGCAGGGCGTGAACTACAGGGGAGCCGGGGTTAATAAGACATGAGCTCCCCTTAAAACATGATTTGTCTCTAAAAGACTGACAATAAGTCAATAATATTTTTGCCATGCATTTCTATTTTTCTGTATCTCTGTCATAATGGATCATGTGCAAAAATTAAGCTATTTTTGATGTCATTAACTGATTATTATAGATGTGCTAACATAAAGCAAGTAGGCCTACGTGTTTGCAGCCACAAATGTTTCTTTGAAACTAGAGTGTACTGTTGTGTGTGTGTGTGTGTGTGTGTGTGTGTGTGTGTGTGTGTGTGTGTGGGATATTTTTGTATCTCTGATATCCATAAACATCCAGATGAACATCCAGAAATCCACTTAGAAAGCCAAGAAAAAAGACCTCATAACTTCAGATCTTGCCTCATAATCATGGCCTGGATGTTTTTCTTCAGTACCTACATTAATCCTGATTGTTGTCTACATTCAAAAAGGAACTGCTGATGCAGAATGACTTTCCAAAAACAAACAGTTGACATAGTTGGGTGAAAGTTGTGGTTTAGTGACAGTTTTGTGAAGAATGCAAAATAATTGTGAGTAATGACAATTTAGCATCAGAGCTTTTGCTGTAACATTTCCACCAAAGAAACAGCTACTGCTGCAACGCACTGTATGCTTGTTGAGCTAGTTGCAAGCAAGTTGTAAGTTAGTCAGGGCAAGTTTGCGAAAAAAGATTGTCTCCTTTAGTCTGATATCTGTGGTGGATGTTGGTGTTTCAGATCACATGACCTCCTCAAAAATGTGTTCCCAGCTTTGAGAAATGTACATCAGGCTGCGTGAACCAATTTGGACGAGCACTTTTGACTTGTAGTCGGCAATAGTGATACTGATACCAGATATTAAAAGACAAAACCAGGAAATGAAAAAATAGCTGCACCACACAAGCTCAAAACTTCCTTGCTTGTTTGTATCTCCCAAAGCCTGATGGGTAGTTCATGAACCCAGAACATGCTTATTCAAACAGAAGTAATAAAAGTGACAAAACTAAATATAAATTTAAATATGATCTTCTTTTTGTTTTGTACTATCAGTACATTATTGTATATCAGAGCTCAGAGAAAGTCTCTCCTCTATCCATTCATAGACAGAAAACATGCGGCAACCTGAGAACCCTATTTAAGATTGATAATAAAAGCTGTCCTACAACATCGATGGCTGAATGAGAGTTTGCTTAGGACACCAGAACACTGAGAAGTCAGCATGTGAGCTTATTGTTCAGCCTCAGTACACACTTTGCATTTTCAATTTTATCAGTTGTTTTTGGAGAGACTGATGAGCATTCATCCAAACCCCTATCTTCTCTCTTCCTTTCCTCTGTCATGTCACTAGGTGGTTGCCCTGGGTGACATTCCTGATGGGACCCTGGTGACGGTGATGGCGGGAAACGATGAGAACTACTCAGCTGAGCTTCGAAATGCCACAGCCGCCATCAAGAACCAAGTGGCCAGATTCAACGACCTGCGCTTTGTTGGCCGCAGTGGAAGAGGTACACACACAACAACACACAAATACAAAAACGATGAAAACAAAAACGCAGAGTTTTGCCATGATGGCATAAATATGAGCTATAGTGGCATCAAATACTAGTGAAAACAGTATCAGCCTTTGAAATCTCACACTGGTTGAAATTTAATAGGTGAAAATAGCTTTGACCAAGCATACAGAGCAGCATGGACAAATTAGGGGAAGTACATGTGAATAAAAACAGTATTCACACAACTTCCTCGTAACACCCCATTGAACGCCTACGTCGCTCTGCCTCCCCCCCCCGTCCCCCCGTCTTTAACGGACACACTAGACCACAGTTCAGTTCACAAATCAGTCGCAGGCAAATGTCCCAACTTATCTATTTAAAACACCAGACCTGTGTACACAAACTATGCTCATACACCGACACACACACACATAAAAATGACAAGTACTCTCCAGCTGAATGGAAATATGGGAATAACTGTCAATATAAGACAGACTCAACTGTTGAAAAATGAGTATATTGATAATTCATTTGCAGTATAATTCAAATGAAGAAAGTTGAGGAGTAGAAATTTGTTTTCATGCAAATTTAACTGCACAGAGCACAATGGGGTTCATTCTCTCAGCATCACTCCATCTGAAGAGTATTTTAAGTTAGAAAACATGTTGATAGAAAGCTGGATCACTATGTTTAATGCAGGGAATCTACACTAATTCATGTATCTATCTGTATGTATAGATTCATTATACCTGCACCCTTTTCTCATTCTCTGTTTCCTCTTACTAAGGCCCACTATTATCATGTTACAGTAACATGGAGAGATTATGTGGGGGACGGAAACTGAAATGCCTTCAAACTATTTTTAACTGCAACTTTTACATTCATGTTTTTTTTTACTTGTTTTGTTTTTTTGTAACCTAATGAATATTTGATAATGAAGGATTTTGTTAGATTTATTTTTTTCATATTTAGATTCTTTATATTTACTTATTCTTTACTCTTACATGTCATATCATATATTTATATATATATACATATATGGTTTATGGTCTTTCTGTCATTTCCTGTTGTGTTAACAAGACTAGAGTCATGCTAGGACCAAAGTAGTGGACTGACCAACATTGCCATCCCTGGAGCCACACTACTAGTGGGCCTAAAATAGATCAGCTAGTGTCCGGTATTGCAGAAATTACTTTTAGTGACCACTGTGGACTTGACAGGCCAATAGTGATACTTTGTTGTCCTGAAGGTACAAACAATTTGTACTATTTTAGTCTAATTACATACAATTCCCTATCCCGTCTGTGGCTATCAGCAGTGTTCAAAATAGAAAGCTTAATTTGAGGAATTTAGAGGGAGCTCTAAAATATTGCAACCTTTCTTTTATTGGTGCCTTTTTCTTGTGTATAAATATATATTTTGTTGTATTTAGAGTAGCTGTTGGAAAATATATCTTGCTATGTTTACCCATAAGACCAACATTTGAGGCTGGGGCATGTTCATAATTTTATTGTTTCACAGTAGCCATCTGTAATTTGAACACTGGCTATCAGCTCCAAGCTTATTGGTTCCTACTAAAATGAATAGTTTCCTTTTAAAAAACGGGCTCAGTTATTCCCTCAAACAGCTGGTCACTGTAGTTTTCATCAAATGTTACTCAAACAGGAGGAATGCTTTTGTTGGGGACTACTTTCAGAGGCGGATTAATCCACATTTCGCACCTCATGGAGAATTTCTGGCAGCAGGGTCGTGTGGTTGGGATTGAGTCCAAATAGTTTCAGGACTAACATGATTTCTGGAGGAAATTGTGAATACTTTGAGGGTTTAGGGTATTGAACAATAGCAAGCCACATCAACCGACATGTCGAGTAGAGTTTCTTCACCTAAAACCTCTAAAATGTCATTAACTGTCTTTGTGGGAAGTGGTTAGTTTAGCCAATGACAGCAATGAGCGGTTTAGTGGTTTGACTAGTGGTTTCTGTGCATGTGTGTGTGTGTTTGGGTGTGTGTGTTTGGGGGTAGGAGTGAGTGTCGAAGTTGTCAGACTTAGTCATCATTAGTCAGTGTTCCCTGTTTTGCAGAAGGACTTACAACACGCAGAGACAGTGATACACTCTAGATTTGTGCAGTATTTGCACAGTGTTTACAACAATGTAGAGCTCCTCTGTGGATTTGCATATCAGTAGCTGTTTTTCTCTTTTTAAATGTCTGAGTGAATTCATCTGTTTCACTTTGAAGCTGATGATTTACAGTGTCAGAAACTGAAGTTGCACTGTTGATGGTTTCATTAAGTCCTACACCTGAAATCAGTCTACTGAAGCTCATTTACAATAGTGTTGTTTTAAGAGGAAACTCTAAATAGTACTAATTCGTCCAAGCTCAATTCTCTTCTGACTAATGTTTTAAAACATCGACAGTGGTTTCACAGGAAGTTGTTAATGATATAACAAAATTATCGATTGTTTCCAGGTTGGTGAAACTGTCCGAGACTACATCCTAACTAAACCGGATATTCATCATCCTTTTCTCTATATTTTTTTTTTGTTATCTGTCCACACTAAGACAGCATTTCTCACACTCTACAGTGGAGCTTTTATAAATCGGTCTCCAGAGTGACAGCAGTTCATGAAAACTGCAGCCCCTTCATTCATTTCAATGAAAGCAAAAAAGTTGAACCTTGCCCAACTTTCCCTGCAAGTTGCATCTGGCAACAAGCTGCTATGGCAAATTATAATTAGGCAAGTGCTTGTTTCTTTGAAGATGCCTTGTAAAGACATCAGGACAAAATATACAAACAGGTAGTGCATTGAGTGATTCTGCTGTTTACCACAAGATCTTGGAGTGGGCGATAATAAAATGCACGTTGTCCACAGTTTTAACTTCAAACTCATGGATCTGTTACTCAAACCTTCCTGGGTCACATTTCATCATCTCATGGGAACGGTTTTGTGTTTTTTGACACAGTACTGAGTTCCAGTCTGAAATCCTGGTAAATCTGGGTACAAAAGCTGGCTCAGACAAGGCCGTGGGCTGTGTTAAGAAGGCTGTCATCACTATAACAAAACAGAACATCAATTACCATTAAACCTGTGTTTGTTTATTATGTCAGATGACTTTGAGATCATAAAATGTCGTAATTAGGAGTTACTGTTCACCTGGGACAAGTGATTGCTTAAAGTATAGAGTTTATTTTGACTATAGTGGAACATGTCAAATTGAGCATAAGGGAAATGTCATGTTGTATCAGAACATGACATTGCATGTTGCAAACAGATCTGCAGCATCAATCAAATACAAACTACAGAAACAGAAAAAAATTGTAACTGAGAATGAGTGAATCGTGTGTTTACTGGTAGTGAGGACGTAAAATAAGTGGCAAAAAAAGAAATTCTGTCAACAGATGATGCAATATCCATCATGTCTTGTGTGTTTGTTTCATATGCTGGTTCAGCCTACTACCACTATAAACTGTGTGTCTGTGTTTGTGTGTGCGCACATGTGCAACCAGTCTCTCTTTTAGTTCCTCTTTTAAACAGGACCGTCATTTTTCTCTTTCACAATATGTGACTCTGTGTGAACACGCACACACAAACACAAACAACCACCTTGTTATTCCAGGAACACACACACATTGCTCTGTTGAAAACGGTCTAAATAAGAGATTCGGTCCGACCGGCTTATTGTGAGGAAAAACTGAGCGACCCCAGCTCAGCAAGCCTTGACAGGACGCCACACACACACACACACACACACACACACACACACACACACACACACACACACACACACACACAGAGCTCACCTCATGTGTGAAATCTTGTCTTATCTACAGAGAGCGAGCGAGACATAGGGGTGATTAGAGAAAGTCCCGGAAAACCCTGTTGTCAAGACACACACACAACGCCTTTGTGATTTAGTAATCTTGTGTGTGTGTGTGTGTGTGTGTGTGTGTGTGTGTGTGTGTGTGTGAGATGCCACCGGCTGGCTGATAGACACAACAGACACAAAGACCTCAGCTGTTCTCTCCTTCTTCCTGTCTTTCCCTATCAGCCCAAATCTCTTACTGTAAACTCTCTCTCTGTAAACAACCTGCACAAAAACACACTCCACGTTCCTCTGTACTGTATACAATTTATACTACACAATTTATTTGTTTATATACAGTAACGTATACACTGAATACACTGTGTATAGAGCAGAGTATACAGTATACAATAGGTATGCTGTTTGTATGCGCGTACCACTGGGAGAAGGACAGAGAAAAGAGAGAGGGGTGAGGTTTTAGGTGATAACACACCCTCTAGTGGCCATCACTATGGCACAGTGCCAATCTGTGCCAGTTAGGTGTGGTTTACACACTTCATTTCAATGCTGCAACAACACATGGCCCATATGGCGATTTGAATCCATGGCTTGTGCGCCAAAGTAAACAGCATTGCAAAACAACAGAGGCTTATCATCCCTCAGTTTAGCTGTTTCTAAAGTTGAATTGTTGTAAAACTCAGCAGGAAGTGTTACCACAGCCCAGTACCTTGAATTTGTTCTCATACTGAGATTAAGTCCACGCCCTGCAACTAACGTTCAGTACAGGAAGTAGTGTGTCCTTCATGTAGAGAGGTGGAAAGTCAGATTTATGCTTGATGCAAGAGGTTAACAACTCTGGAAAGTAATCATGGCAGCGTTTTTTTTTTCCATTTTCCGTCACTACAATCTTGAGATAAAGAGTAGAAACATCTTTTATTGGCCAACAACCTTGTGTTGTTTAGCCAGAGCTCCCCCTGCTGCGACTGGCATTCAAATGAATTAAAGGGTTGCTTTTTTCACACAGGGCTACAGTGAGTCTCAATGCAGCTTAATGCGATGTGTTTACGTTTATTCTTTCACAGAGAGCTAGGGGTGTGGTGAGATGCTTTGACACATATGTTACTGAAAAGGAAAACATCCTCTTTCAACTTCCCTAATGTTGTCTTATAGTGTTTGAACCATTTATTTATTTGGCTTTGTCCTATCTTTAACCATACAAAAGTTGTCCAATGTTCAAGAGTGGATGGAATGAGGCATAAGGAATACTTAACTCAGTTGAACTTTACAAGAAAATCACAAAACTGTCCAGTATCAATATTCTGTGTGGCGAAAGGATTGTATCTCCACTACTGTCAGCTCTTTGATTATTAGCTTACTGCCGAAACAATGGTATTCCAAATGGAGCTCAGCTGGTAACAGTCCATGTATTTGTACTACGTTGGTCGTTTTAATGTCGATTTTAAATGCTCTTACACACTTGTTTACATTGCTGCTTTAGTCCAGTCACCAGTTTATGCATTGCACGGTGTTGCTGTTCGTGCAATACAATGTAAAGTTTTGTTTTCGAGCTGGTTTGCTAAATAGGCTAATGTAGCTAACAATAACACTAGCCTGCCACTGCCCCTGGTGGCCCCTGGAGGCCCCTGGTGGCCCCTGGTGGCCCCTGGTGGCTCCTGGTGGCTCGAGACAAACGCCACAGCACTTGTTGAAATTGAAATAGGCGAAAATGGCAAAATATTATTGAAATGTAAGACTTGCAATAACGGAATTACTTGAAATGTTAGTGTTGTCTGTAGAAAACCATTATTATTTCACATTGAGCTTGTTTAGAAGAGCCACAAACAATAACAACATAGCTGCTGCACTGGTGGTGTCCATGTTCTTTCCGACTCGTAATGCACAAAGACAAATGGAACGCTATAAGTGGTACAAGCCAGGCAATTACATCACGTTCTCGCGTCAGAGTAACTCGGGCGGGAGATTTACGAAACAAATGGATAGCACCATAAGTAGTAGCCCAAACCATTGACCTTTATCTCAACATATGATGGTAGCTATCATGCTGCCTTTGATTTACTATGGCTATGGTTATGGTTATGGTTATATGCGTACAATACAATTAACCCAAATAGGTTAATAGCAATGGGTTTTGTATTAACCCCACCCCCCCCAAAAAAAGAAAAAAACTACCATATTTTAAAAAATAAATGTTGGCAAGTATGTAGTAGCCTGTGCTGATTACTGCGTGTGTGCATGTCATTGACGAATATAGGGAGGACATTCAACTGAAGCTGCATTAAATCAGGTTGTTTTAAGCAAGATTATCCTGCAAGATGTTTCTTTTCAACTACATGTAAGTTCCCTGTTATAGACTAACAGTATTATAACAAGCAATATTAAAAATATCCAGTTTATTCCCATTAATTCCTGTTTATTCCCATGGAAAGTTTCCAACTTTGAAAATTCCCGGAATTTTGCAACCCTAATAACATGTGCACTGTCTGTATTTGAATGCAAATCATGTGGACTCTGATGTTTGTGTGGGACAGAGCTGTAGACCGATCACTTACTGAGGCTTTAGTCAGTCGACTGTACTGACTGAAATTAGATTTTGTTCCTTCAAAGCTGAAATGTTGTAACAGGTTTTTCCAGTTGTACTTTGTCAGCTGACATTATTAAAATTAAATTTAAAATTTAAAAATTTAATAAAACTTCAGTATCCTTTGTACGTAAGTCATACAAATATCTTGGCAATAAGGTAAATGTTCAGAGAGAGAGAGAGAGAGAGAAAGGAGACACACAGGGAGTGAGAGAAGTGAGAGTAACACCTGGCATTACCCACATGTGTCTGCTGTTTGTGTGGCATCAGACTGTCTGCATGTGGTAACTTTACTCCGGCACTGGCACACAACAACAGCGGTGGTCTGCACGTGTGTGAGTGTGAGTGTGTGTGTGTGTGTTTGCAGCAAGCATACTGTTGTTGAGTGATTTCTGCTCACAAATCTGAGGCTGGCAGTGACCCCCCAACAGGCACACACACACGAACAGTCCTATAAATGTATAGTACAGACACTTGGTGCAGTGAACATATATTTGTTCTCAGATATAACCGGGGTTAAACTGATACAAGTTTTTTATGGTTGATATTTTTGGATTATACCATGGTCAAATTAAACTCTGCTTTCTGATTGGCTGGCAAGTGTCCCTTAAAATTGTAAATTGGGAATCATAGTTATGGTCGACACTTTATTCTCTTTTCTAAATCAGTGCTCAGACAGTTTTAGGCCGCAAGTAACCACAGCAACAGTACTAATAAAGCGAGTGACAGATAAAAGGCTCTGATTCGCTAAAAGAAGAAAGAATACTGCACTCGTATTTTGCATACCTCACCATTCAGATGTCACACAAACAGTGTTTCGTGGCACCGTTCAATATCAGTTTTCACCAGAATGAAAAAAAACCCTGAAATTAACAGGCAGCAAGATCGTTAGCTTGGACAGCTTCTTTTCCCATCTCCAATATCTTTAATACCTTTTTATTGAATTAAACGGCTCACGGTAACACATTCCTGGCTTGTTAGCGTGTTAGCTGTATGCTGGCCAGGTACAATGGACCTGCAACTAACCATGTGAGAAGTATCACTAAGCTTCTACCTTAAAAACCTCAGCATAATCGACCTCCAATGTTTTACATTTCATAGAGTTTGACCTGTGACATAAAAACACAGCAACAGTGACACAATTATACAAATATACACAGACCGTCGGCCATCAACCGTCATCGCAAGACTATTGAATGGAGTAGTTTATCACAGTCTTTCTCTTTCTACATCTTGACGTTTTTTCTGTGTGTATGAGAGAGAGAGAGAGAGAGAGAGAGTGTGTGTGTGTGTGGGTGTGTGGGTGTATGGCGTCTGGTTTATTCCTGTCTGGGGGTCCATGACTTACATTACTTAATGCATTAAGCAGACCAAGAGGATATTTGGGGAGAACAGGAGGGAGGGGGGAGAGAAGTAGAGGCAAGATGGAAAGGAGAGTGCTGGAAAAACTAATATTAATTAACACTTCACTTTTTTCCTCCCCTTCCTTTTCTCTTTTATTTCTCTCTTCTTCTATTCATCTATTCTCTCATATTCTTTTTCTCCCACTTTTCCTCTCCTTTTCTCTCACAGGAAAGAGTTTTACTCTGACCATCACAGTGTTCACCAACCCTCCTCAGGTGGCCACGTACCAGAGAGCCATTAAAATCACAGTGGACGGTCCTAGGGAGCCACGACGTGAGTGACACTGACACACAAATGTTGACATTTTAATTCCTCCACAGATATTAACATCTGGAGTTAGGGTTAGGAATATTATATTCCATATCTGCCAATAGAGCTTCCTAAATGTTACACACTGGACCTTTAAATAAATAAAAAAGTGAAGCATCTTAGTATGCCACTCTTTGGGGAAACCCTACTTCCAGACAAGAACAAGGTTTTGCAGATGATTCTGCAAATAAACTATGAACGAACGTTAATTGAACACACTGCTTCTTCCACTGACACTGAACATGCAGGGATACTGGGTTGCTCTCACTTACAGCAAGTCCATGAGCTCATATGACTCTCTGTACTTCCAAAGAATTGGACTAATTTTAGAATACACTCTAAGTCTGTATTTGCTTGTTCATGGGTCCTCGTACAGTGACCCTTATCTAACATGGATGTTGTTCAAAGAACACTGCTGGAGTCTAGTTAGAAGTCAGTATTTTGATGTCTTATATTGGAGCAAACAATACAAGGTATTCAAATGTTTATCCCAACCTGGGTCTTTTCAAAGGAACCCAGTACCCAGGTAATGGTAGTATTAACCATAACCACAGTCTTTCTCTAACCATAACCAAGTGTTTTTGTTGCCTCATCAGACCTTAACCAAAGCTTATTTGCTATAACCACAATCCTTCCATGACCTTAAGCATACCATAGTGACCATGAGCAGATATGAAAAGCAAGAATGTAAAAAATGTTGGCTGCAAAGGGATGTAATCTTGAATCATCCAATATCAACATTATTGTCTGCTGACAGCGTTGTATATTGAGGGACAGTAACATTTTGATCTTAATTCACTATTTATAGGCCCCTTTTTATGTTTCATGCTTGCCTCATAAAGTTGGAACACGGTGGTTGTTTAATAGTTTTATCAATGAGCTGACACAATTGTTTTGTTTTGTTTTTATTTGATCATTTAAAGTTGTATTAAATATTTGTCACTGTGTGATATGGAAGTCAATAAACCAACTAGATACTCTGTGGAGACATGCCTCTAATCCTTACAGACAAACTCTCGGACGAGTGAGTCAATAAGGAACCTGATGCAACACTGAGTTCCTCTCCCACTCAGTGTGATGAAACATGGGGATTTCTGGTGGCAGATGAAAACAAGAGGAAGAGAGAGAAAGATTTTGTTTTGCTAATAAACACTAATATAGGCTATGACATATGAATAACTGAACAGAACTGAGCGAGGAGTCAGTGAGGTGACAGAAAGAGAGGAAGACTCCTGCCAGCTCCGCTCAGCTGTGAATAACCATCACTCGTCTCTATCTTGCCCACACACACACACACACACACACACAGTATAAATACACACACATGCACACTTCCCCCATTGGGAGGAAGTGCCTGTAACTGGAGCTCAGTCTCCGTGCTTTGAAGTGCAGCCAACACCACAGACAGCGTGACAGACCACCACACACACACACAGGGAGACAGCCAGACCCCTATGCGGCGCCCATCGTCAGATTCCCGAATGCAATAGCAGACAGAGTGTGTTAACAATGTCGGAACATTGTTATAGCCAGTGTTGGGTTTTAACTGTTACTGTAATCCCTGGATTATGTAATCAGATTTCAAGCATGAAGTAATCTTCTGACACATCACCTCTAGATATCTTTGCGTTGCACACTTTGAAGCTGCTGAAAGGCACCAGACAACAGTATATTTAAATGTGACCACCGGGAATCATGACACATCATCTCTCTCTCTCTCTCTCTCTCTCTCTCTCTCTCTCTCTCTCTCTCTCTCTCTCTCCCAGGTCATCGTCAGAAGATGGATGAGGTCAAACCCGGCACTCTGGCTTTCTCTGAGAGGCTAACGGAGCTGGAACATCTGAGACGGAGCTCGATGAGGGTGACACCTCCTCACCACCACCACCACCACCACCACCATCAAACCTCCGCCAACGCCCGCCAGTCTGCAGCACTCAACTCTGCCACCTTCTCCAGCCCCACGCACACTCAGATAACTGCTGGTAAGAGCCCAAAACTGAGTAACGTCTTATCATCCTCAGTCAAGAAAGGAAAGAAACAGCATTCAGCATTCTGTGCAGCTCATATGTTGGTATGGAGCTGATCAAGTGACGTTGTTTTTTCTAGTTGAACCAAATTCAACTATTACATGAACCAAGTTTAATTTGAGGCAGACAAGTTGCACTTGTCACAGGGTTTTAAGCATTCTGATTCATTCAAATAGGAGAATATCTCAGAACAAAAGTTTGAAGATTAACAAATAATATTACAAGCTTTCTGTCAAAGAGCAGCTTAAAATCAGTACAATTTGGGATTGGCTGGGATTGCAAAGAAGTGTAAATTACACAATAGTGGACACTGGAACATTTAATTTTTTGAGTCATGCAGCACTGCAAATGTTATTTCCCAAAGTTAAACCTTTTTACCAACATAAATCCATATTAGTATCTTTTTCTGTCTTAAAATGACAAACTTCCCTCTTGGCCCTCTCTTGAGAAACATGACTTCATTTTGAGGACTAAGGCTTTCCCAGAAACGCTGTGCTGCTCAGTGTGTAACCAGGAGTTGTTGAGCCACTTCAGCCATCATTTCTCTGGAAGCAACACTTGCTCACAGCTGTATAATTTAATTAATGTTAGCAAATGATTCAACAGTCCCTCGAGCAGTCAGAACGTATTGCCTTTTTAGGATGCAGCCACATTTCCTAATTTAGGCTGGTAGGACTTCTTAAAATAAAAAATAAGAAATATATATTTTATTTTGTTATAGCATCCAAAATAACCCAGATCCTGAAATGTACCTGCAGCAGCTAAATTATAAACATCACTTCACAATTATCATCCATGCTGACAGTGTTGAAAGTGACTTAAAGCAGTAGTTCAACATTTTCAGAAACATGATACAGAGAGAGAGAGATTAGCTTTAGCTTAGTATAAAGACCTGAAAAAGGGGGAAACAGCTAGCCTGGCTCTGTCCAGAGGTTAAAAACATCTGCCTACCAGCACCTGTAAAGCTCACTAATAAAACAACAAGGGCTATGGCTATTTCTTGGCCTAGTGGTCCGTGACTCCCTGGAGTTATTTTACAGACTAAACATAAACAAAATATGCTGGTGCTAGTAGGTTGATGTTTTTACCACTGGACAGAGCCAGGCTAGCTGTTTCCCCCTGTTTCCAGTCTTTATGCTAAGCTAGGCTAATTATCTCCTGACTGTAGCTTCATATTTAATTGACAGCCATGCCAGTGGTGTTGAGATCTCATCTAACGCTTGATCAGAGAGAGAATCAGCATGTTTCCCACAATGTTGAAGTATTGCTTTAAAGTGCAGTTCCATCAATGGCCACTAGATGCTGGCTTCACAAAACTCAGAACACACAGTTTTGCTATTCTCTTGCATCAACTCGTTTCATTCTGTGTGTGTGTGTGTGTGTGTGTGTGTGTGTGTGTGTGTGTTTGCTAATCTTGTGTAGCTTGCACCAAACCTCATTGTTCCTCTTTGTGGTTTGAGTGCAATCCATTGTGGTCTGTGTGTGTGTGTGCGTGTGTGTGTATACCTGTGAGAGTGTGTGTTGTGGTTGCCGTGGACATGTGTATGTGGCACCAAAAGACAGTATCTGTTCCTCTTCCGCCTTCAGATGAAGTGACGTTGTATGTGTGTGTTTACGCACTTGTTTCTTTTTACGTACACATTTGCATGTGTGTGTTGGTCTGTAAGTGAGGAAGCAAGTTATGCTTTAAGGAGGAAATGAGAGTCAGCTGGCAGGAAGTGCTACTGTGAGAAAAAAAAAATTAGAAGCAAATGCATAACTGTCAGAATTTGATTCTGTATTCAGGTTTCTGATTTACTTTCCATTGTGGTCCATCATTGGATCTGTTGTCCATCCGAGGTGTGATGTACAGTAAGCGAGCCAAATCATGTGGTTATAAGTTCAACGTACATATCACTGCAAAGTCACAATCACTCACACATGCCTTCAAAATATATTCATAGGTATGTTTTCAATTGTGTATAATCACCTGAAAATACCTGTTACCTTAGAATGAGCCATTTTTATCTACAGACGCCCCGTGTCCTCTGCTACCGAGGCCGCCATGTGGCCGAATGTGGAGTTGGAGGCGAGCAGGTTGTAATCTGCAACTACACCACTAGAACCCACTAAATCCTACACACTGGACCTTGAACTAAAAGATGGGAATACTTCTTCCATCACGGCAACTATGTATTTGTTGTATGTAAAGTAGACCTAAAAATAAAGTAGATGAAGTAACATCCCTTTTTTTATAGTAATAAATCCAAGATAGACATCAAAATATGTTAAAGGCTACCAAATGAAAAATAACCATAATATCAACAATACCACACAATTCATATTTACATTGTATATGATAAGTGATATATGAAAAATAAAATATAAACACTTAAGATAAAGGGCCTCAAGCAAAGTCACTTGAGCCATCCTCTAGTGGCCATTAGAGAAACTGCAGCTTAATCCACTGAGCATCATAAACTAAGATTAACATCACTTTGACACAAACACAGTTTTGTTCATGGAAATGTAAGTACATACTGTTTCTAATAATAGTACAAATGATCCCCTATCTATCAGCTTAAGAGTGCAAATGAGTGCAAACCATCTCGTTTCCACAAACATGATTTGCAACAGAAAATCATCGATTCTTTAAACTGGCAGGGAGCGGGGACGTAAAACAAACAGAAAATGTAGAGTAGTGGTAAGAGACTGAGAAAAAGACCAACACAGTGCAGTTGCAGACTGATGGAAACAGAAACAGAGGTGGCTCTCAGTGCTTCCTGCTTTCTGTGTTTTTCTGATCCCTCTAAAAATGAAAATAGCAACAGGAAACCGTTATTAAGCCACTCTTTTTCTCTCTCTTCCCCTTTCTTTCCTTTTCTCTCCCCTATCATCAAACCCCTCCCGCTTAGCTTTCATTTCTCTTTTGACAGTCGTCTTCCCTTCTTTCACTTCCCAAATTTTCCTAACTGTGAGTAATAAATACTGTACAATAATGTAATGTCCGTGTGTGTGTTAGTGTTCACGTGCATGTGCTCCAGTGCTTCAGCCTGCACATGTGTAGCAGCGCAGTAAAAGTCTATGTTTCCTCTGCTGCCAAACCACTTACAGCTCATAACAGATGTAAAATACACAGAGCGGTGTCACGTCATAAAGGTCCATGAAATTAAAGCTTATGTGGGTTTTGCTGCAGCCAATAGCTACAGAAAGAAGATGTTAAGAGAAGGGTAAACCAAAGTTTATTTTAAGATCAGCTGTATCAATCAATGTGGGGAAATAAGGTACCTCTGTATTTACTACTACACCCCTGGACTGGGTTGCACCAGCTATGTGTAAGTTCTCTCCTAAATTACGATGTAAAGTCGACACTGGATGACTCTGGGCATAATTTAACTAGTTAGGACGTAAATCATAACTAAGAGAAGTGGCCAATCAACGATCAAAGATATTGTTCCATCACCTTGCGCATTAGCTTTCTAGCTGGCATGATCCACTTCATAGCACATCATTGTAAGCTAGACCGATATTGAAGTATCATATCAATAAATTAGGTCTCTACTGGATTAGTCACAAAATGGCTGCAATTAATGAAAAATTATTCTCAGTGAGAATAATTCTGTGACATTTTATGATTTATACCACCTCCAGGCCATGTGCAACTATTTAGTGGAGACTTATGTGATGCAACCGCTTTTATTTTAGTAATGCAAAGTAGTTTGGACTGACACACAGCTGGTGCAACAGGCTGCTGTGATACTTAAACTTAATATGTACACAATTAAATAATTCAGGCATAAAACAAATAAAATAAAGTAACATTAAAAAAATTTGTATTCACTTCATGAGGACATTAGAAAGCTGTAACTGTAATACTTTAGGGAGATTCAATTAGAAACAAAAGTTATTTGCATAAACACCAAAACCCCTTTAATATTCTATCAATTTAAAAACTGTTTGAATTCCCTTTGTCGTTTTGTGCTTTTTGAATTTTTGTCCTTCTCTATAACTCAATCATTCCTACTTTCTAACCTGTATTACCATCTGTTGAGCCTGGATTGTCTGATTTATTTTGTACTACCCGAGACTGGATTATGGGGTAAAGTGGGTCCTCAGGTCCCCCTGCCCTGCCTGGATCTTAAACCCTTTATTATTCCAGATGATATTGTGCTTAGTTTTATTGTGTTTGATAATATTGCAACACAGTAAACCCGGGGGCATGCATTGTTCCAGCAAAGGAATACTGTCTAAAATGCAGAAAGAGGAGGGAAACATGGAGTTAACAGGGGCCCAGAAGCCATATACGTATAGCATATATCTGTATAGCTGTCTCCAACTTTCCCTGTTTTCAACTTTGTGCATTGTTTCAGATAATAAAGGTGTTTTTAATTGTTTATTTAGCTAAATAAGTCTGAGAATGTTCCCAACCCATAAAGAAACACTAAATCCTTCAGTTTGTCTGGAAAATTCAAATCACCAGACACAACCTCTGCGAACCTTTTGTTTTTCCAAATTTAAATATTTGGATAATACATATAATTGGAGTCAGATTATTTCTGACATTCGTCAGCCGCCCATAAAGCACCACAGAGATCCAATCCAATCCAATCCAACTTTATTTGTTAAGCACTTTAAAAACAACCAAAGTTGACCAAAGTGCTGTACAGGAGAATAAATAAGACATCATAATCGTTCTACGTGCTCTAGTTCTATTTCCAAGCAGCTCGCTATGTATGACTCCTGCCCCACATTAGTGCACTCTGCCACGGGAGGGAAGCCAGGAAAGGAGGGGGCTTGGCACAGGGCCTCACCACCACCCAAATACACACACACACACACACACACACACACACACACGTCAATGCTTGGGAGAGCTCTTGGCTAGACTTGAAAAGCCTTCATTGACGTCTTGGCTGCTGTGTACAATTTGCTTCCTCGTCTGTCTGCACATGCACACACAAACACACACACGCATACACACTCTTGTCTGCAAGTCTGTGGGTGATCAGTGCCATTTATTAGACTGTGGGGAAAAAGACTGGATTGAATGAAAGAACTCACACACACACACACACCACACACACACACAGCTCCCCCTTCATCCGCCCACCCCCACACTAAGTTAATTGCTTCCTCTCCTCCATCTCTTTCTTCTGTTCCTTCCACTATCAACAGCTTCTGTCTCAAGACCAAGTTAATTTAAATCTGCCTTTATTTACATTCTGCACAAACCGTGCAGTTCAACGTGTTGTTCATATGTGCAAGATTAAGATATTTTCTGTTCAGAAACAAAACTGGGATTTTATTTGACCGTTTTTTTTTTAAGTTCTCCACTTTAATACTATAATCAGTAAATCTCTGAAGCAGAGGTTTTCTAACTCGAGTCCGAGGACCAACAGGGGTCTTTAAGTATGTTGTAGGGGGTCCCAAGCAATATTTTAACTTTAATAACAGTTTTTCGAAGTTGGAACAAGGGAAGAAATCATTTCTTAAGGAAAAATTCTCTCAAATTGGGGGTTCGTGCATCGATTGTGGGAGACGTTGACATGAAAAGGTTTGGGACCCTTACAAATAAACAACTTCTCTCACAACATTCAGTTTACTTAATCTCTCTCTTTCTCTCTCTCTCAGATTCCAGACAGATGCAGTCGTCTCCATCTTGGTCCTACGACCAATCATATCCCTACCTTGGCCAAATAACAACGCCCACCGTCCACACAGCCAATCCCCTTTCGCCTGGCCGATCCACGCTCAGTGACCTGTCCTCACGACTCACAGGTAACACACTCGCAAGCGTGTACACACAGAGTAAACAGACAGTAAAGTAAGAAGGTGGTAACCTCTGACCTTTGCCCTCTCACAGGTCCTGACCTCACAGCCTTCAGTGACCCCAGGATGACTTTAGAACGACCTTTCACCTCCCTCCCCTCCTTGCCTGACTCTCGCTTTACCGACCCCAGGGTCCACTACCCTACCACGGCGGCCGCCTTCACCTACGCCCCCTCTCACAACCCCGTCTCCAACGGCACCCTTGGCATCACCATGGCGACGGCCATGGCAACCACGCCGGCAGGGAGGTACCACACCTATCTGCCTCCCCCCTACCCGGCGAACACCCCTCACCAGCCTCAGAACGGGCCCTTCCAGTCCACCTCCTCGCCATATCACCTGTACTACTCCACCGCCGCCGGGTCTTACCAGTTCTCCATGATGGCGGGGGGAGGAGGCAGTGACTCACGCTCCCCGCCGAGGATCCTGCCGCCGTGCACCAACGCCTCCACGGGATCCTCCCTCCTGCACCCCTCTTTGCCCAATCAGAATGAAGGAGTGGGTGTGGAGGTGGAGTCCAGCCACAGTAGCTCCCCGACAAACATGGCAGCAGCTGAAGCTGTCTGGAGACCTTACTGAAGCAGCCAAGGTGGTAGAGGACACTGTGGGTGCACTCATTTAAGGTGACTGCCTGGTCATGTAATGGCGCACACTGAAGACAAAACCCACCAATCCAAAATAAGATAAGTGAACTACAGCCCGAATCTCAGTGAAAGGAGGAAAGTCTGGTGTCATTCTACATTTTATTCTCAAAAAAGACCCAAACCAGCAATGTGTTGGTGTGTTTGTTCTACTGAAGATGTGGATCTTTAAAAAGACCTCTCAAATATATAGTTTCATTTTTAAAAATGTCCTAAAACATCTGGTCAGTGTAGTTTTCATCAAATGTTAATTAAACAGGAGAAGGGCACTATTAATCCACATTTGGTGATCTAGTGAGTCTTTGTGACAGCAGGACGGTGTGTAGGTGTGATTGAGCCAAAATAAACTACATCATTTGGGTTCACATTAATGAGGGAACATGTCACATTGTGCAACATCGATGTGTTTTTAATACTTTTTTGACAACAATGGAGTTGGCTCAGAGGAATAAGATATATATATATATATATATACACACATTGTACTTGTTAGTAGTTACATTTATTGTTGGTTTTTGTCTGCACATGGGACTTACTGACAATAAAATGACTTACAAACATTATTATTATTACATATTGGCCCTAAATTTCCTTCTTGGACACACTGAGTCAAAGGGTACCATCCAACTATGGATGCAGTTCCTACTAATGTTCCTTTGAATTGTTCAGTGATTATAGGTTTTCTCATTTTTGGATAAACACCACCCAGTAATGTTCGTCATTACTTGACCAGGAACCTGATGAGTGCGCCCAGATTAAAACTGTCTACTGACAAACAATGTTGGCCAATGAAAAACAAGTTGAATGACTGACAGGTGCATTAGTCAACAGGCAGCAGTGAGTGGACGTCCCTGTCTCACTCTCAGGACACAGAAAAGGACTCCAGAGAAAAACTTCTATTAAATGAAGGACAAACGGAGAGAAGCAGGAGAATATTTTGGTTTTACACTGACAAAGTGCATGCAGCAGCACTGGACTGATCTCAATCCACCTTCCTTTGTAAAATAACTGCTTCCTCATAAATGTTGTTGGTGTTGTGAATAGATGATTTACTCATGCCAAAAATTGTCATGGCCTGTTTGTGTTTACCTTCATCTACCATTGTTTCACTCCCCCATGATTTTACCACTCCTCGCATTTCTCTTCTCGGTTGCCATTTTTTAGAAAAACTAAGCCCTAAAATAAAAAAAACAAATGTTTTTATGGCCCCTGAGGAATATTTCGACAAAAAGTCACCTCTAACGTTGACCTCACTGCAGACTGCATTCTTATCCTCATCTATCAAAATGATTAAAACATCTTCATTTTACAATGGTTGAGCCGGTCAATTGATTATAGACTGGATTCTAATGAAACATTTTGCTCAGATTTCTATATTAACACAGAAGAAAATGTTTATAGTGAGGTCTAAATTACACAGAATATTGGTTTTGAGATGAAATCTAAATATTGTCTACCATCAGCAGCTTTACTCTATGATGATTTATTCCCCTCTCTTTTGAATTTTGACTCATTTTCTCACCCCACTGAGACAAATTAGAGCATGGAGTTTTGTTAAATACTTTAATTTATTCCTACAATACCATTTTTGGTAGCATTTCACTTGTATGTGTGTGTGTGTGTGTGTGTGTGTGTGTGTGTGTGTGTGTGTGTGTGTGTGTGTGTGTGTGAGTGTGTGTCACATTTACCCGTGATCCACTGTCGATTTGTACTGTATATATCCGTGGCTGTAAATGACACCTGCATTTGATCATGTTTTCATCACCGTTCTCTCTCTCTCTCTCTCTCTCTCTCTCTCTCTCTCTCTCTCTCTCTCTCTCTCTCTTTCTCTCACACACACACACACACACCAGGTTTGTTTTGACAATGTTGATTGTGCACATTTGGTTTTGATTTACATAAATATTATTGTGAAGAAAGTACAGCTCTTGTCTTGTGGTTGCTGGTTGTCTATTTGTTTTTCTCAATGATATTTCTCTTTATATAAAATTCTCTCCTGCATGCTGCCACCTGTATCCATGCCAAACCACACACACACACACACACACACACACACACACACACACACACACACACACACACACACACACACACACGTACACATTTCATCCATTGCTATTCCTGAACCTGAAGGAATTTCTACAGGCAAACAGACAAGCCCTAGCTTGCCTTCTCTGCCAGTTTACACACACACACACACACACACACACACACACACACACACACACACACACACACACACACACACACACAGACGTTGCTAAATAAAGGTGAAGTGGTTGCAGCCAGACGGTGAGTACACAGTATAAAAAGCTGATCTACTGCAGGCAAAGGTTGGGGAAAGAGTGCACAGTGTTCTGCAACTTATCAAATAAATGATGTGAACATGCTGTTACAGACGTCAGAATCATCCTCAAACACAGGTGACGAATGTTCAGGCAGCTTTGTCTGAGAAGACAGTGGAGCACATCCAAGGCAAGGCTGGGAAAAGCCCAGGGTGTATTTTTCATAATGTGCAGCTCAAGGAAGTCCAAGCAAAGGTGGTACTGTGCTCAAAAACAAACTATTGTGTACGTAAGTGTAGTCTGAACAAATCTCAAGGCAAAAGTGTTTGTATTTGTTTGGAACAAATGCTAGAAAGCGGAGAGAAAACCCTGCCATCAGAGAAAGGTATGATAGATAATGAGTATGGGAATAACAGCACACAATGCTTTGTGTTGTGGTCAGGCTGTGTGAAGGATGAAAAAAAGGAACTCAAACTCTGCCTACTTTCCTACTTCGCCACAGCTCACCAGACGTAGGTGTGAATCCGTTATACTCCAACGGAAGTACTTGTATGGTCAAGCAACATCTGAAACCCCTTAGACCTTTTTCACAGCAGCCATTTTGACAGGAAATAGGGTAACAGGTGTTACCAATGATACTGATTAAGGCTCTATTACAGTCAGGTCAAACAGAGTTTGGGTGCGGTTATTGCGCATGTTGGCTCACTGGAAAGACTGCTACACTTAATGGGACCTGAATTAGTGTCATTGGTAATTCCTATGTTTACCCTACTATTTCATGTCTAAATGGCAGCTGTGAAAATGGTCCATTGGGAATGTTGCATCTGATAATTTTAGTAGCATAAAAACGTCACAAAGTGACTGGCCAGATGTGCGGTGAGGTTTTAAACCTCTCTCTTTTTATTCTTCACACCATCATTGGTGCCACTTTGCATATGTACAGCCAAGTACAACACCATGAAGACCTTTGAGACGATACACTACAAAATACAAATCATATCTAGCATAGTCCAGACACCATCTCCAGATACTGTTTGGCAATTCCACTAACTGATTTGAAGCATTCACTAAAATATTAACTCAATATTGCTCAATATATTTCCATGGATAGGGAACAATGGAGGGTGCTCATTGTGGCCTCATGTTGCACAGTGGATGAACATTAATTGAGTGTGCATGTTTGATGCAAACAACAAGTGATTAAAAAAATTTATGCTAAATTGTTAACACACAATCCTGACAGAGACTGTAATTGTGGAGAAATGCTGGATCTCCAGGGGTTCCTTGATATAAAAAAAAAACTAACATTTAAAGGACCACACTAGTATTTTTGCAGAGATCATTCAAGCCAATTCCAGGTGTCAATCAAATCAATCGAAACAAATGGGCATGACTTCAGCTGGATGCAAAATACTTTTAACTAACTAACTTTGATTATGAGTTTGGGTTGTTAAATTGGTCTTTAATACAATTTCACATGTAGTTTTCAAAACACTGTTCTTTACATGAGAGAATACACTGACCTAGTTAAACTAGTGAATGATGAGAGAAATCCTCCCGTGGTACAGTTGCATGAACGGGTCATTTAGCCTTAGTGAACAGCGACATCTAGCTGTCTAATTGCATTCTCACCCCCCCAGTGTTGAGGATAGTCACAGGAGAGGAGGTTCAGTTTCTTCAGCCTTTAAAAAAAATGAAGCCTGGAACACTTTAACAGGATAAAAGACAAATGGGTTGTTGACAAAGATATAGAAACAGTTTCGGTGCATGAGAGGAGTTATTGGGGTTCAACACATGAGAGGGTCCTAAGGGTCTTTAAGGGTCTAGTCGGTTTCAGGAGTCTACTTTTGATGTGTTTCCAGTGGGTAAAAAGCGACATTGTTCCTTATTCTCACTGTAACAAACCTATCTCAAGAACAATTGAAGAAAACCAACAAATAATGTATCTTCCCCTACAGTATGGGACTAAATATTATCAAATGGGGCCTCATGCATGTCCATCTGGGGGTTGAGGACGTAACATTTCAGCAGCCCTGCGTGAGGTCATTAAACATGAGTTCAAAACAGAATCACAGTTTTGATGCTTATGGCACTTGTTTTCTCTCCTCTGGCCAGCCAACAGATAGGAGAATTGATTTCCTAACAGCAGCCATCATTTGGCGCTTGGCTGAGCTGCAGATGATTGATGAGCCGCAGTAATGACAAACGAGGGAGAAATTAACAGGGAGCCAAAATTTACATAATGTCCTATTAATCACTGTGACAGAGGGACAGAGGTTGTGATCGCAAGGAAAAATCCATGAGAGACAACTCATTTATTTATTTATCTATTTATGTTTTAGATGTACCATAAAACCAAAGGCTCTGTGTGCAGTTGTGTATGGAGTGTGCAATGGTTTGGTACTCCCAGGCGCGCTTTATCACAAACCTAGAACTTGATCCTATATTGTTATCTTAGATGTTTTTTGCGTTGTCTGATCCATTAAAGACATTTTAAGCACTATAAGACAATTAATTAACTAAAATCATCACTTAGCTGCATCATTACTAAGCATAACAGATGGAATTAAGAAAAGTTATTTAAAAAGAGCCTAAACAGGACATTTTAAATCCCGTTGTAAGTTTTTTATTTATTTATTCATAAATAATATATCATAAAATATGAATCGGTTGATTATAAATTATTTTTAAAAATACTTTACTTATAAAAATACTTTAGAAAGAGGATTTAATTTGCTTGTGAGTCATTGTAACACTAAATGTAAGTGCATGCTGAGTTCAAGGGTGTAAAAGGCTTTAACATTTTGTACAGTTACCGTATATTTGAGTTCATGTTTTATAGTAAACCCGATATGTCACTCGTTTTCCAAATATTCAACAAAGACGTGATTTATTTTCGTTGGATTAAGGTTGAGATCAAGTCAAATGCGCGGTCCATTTCCCCTTTAACTCCTAAAATCTAAGAGCAGAACCAAACAGAACTCTATTCTCCCATGAACCCAAAACGCAACGGCCGTACGTCATCACGCTACGCGCCAAATTTGTAAAGTGCGGAAGGCGCAACAGCGAAATTCCAGCCGTTTCAGTGTTTTTAACACACTGTTGTTGAACTTCGACTATTTTTGGTAAACTATCCCTCTTCGGAATGTCTCAGCAGGCAGGTTACTCGCCCAACTTCAAGCGGCCGGCTGAAATTATGCGAATGAGGAGGAAAAGAGCACGAAGCGAAGCCGGTGTCTTCTCTAGTCCGAGCGGCCAGGGTTCAACTGGCAGTCCGGGACCAAGCGACGCATCGCCGGGATGCGTTCGGCCCTTCTCCCCGGGACCGCTTTTCAACACCCAGAATCGGTCGGGAGGTGGCGTAAAACGCAGGAACCCTTTCGCGAATATTGAGAATACTTACAGCCCCAAAAAGAAGTTCCTCATTTATAACGACGACGGAAATGCCGAAGCTGCAGCCCAGACCGAGAAGTCCCCCGAAAAGGAGGGAGAGGAGGACGCGTCAACAAAGAGTGAGGGTCCGGGAGTTTTACCTTTCAGTTCGAGGTTGACTGAGGTCGAAAAACAGGAGCGCCAAAGTATTTCCAACAAGGTAAGGTTATAATATTTACACGTAAAAGTGTCTAATGTTATCCGGGGACCGTTTATTCAGCTTTGAAAAATCAGTTGGTTGCAAACGTCCGAACACACAACCGTTAGCTGACGTTACCGGTAAGCGTACTGACGCAATGCAGAACTCCCTTTAAAAAAGAATTAGATTTAAACCTACGCGACACTGAACACTGCTGCCCCTGTGTGCACTAAAAGTTATTACTTTATTCAAATTATCGCATATTTTTCTAATTTCATGGAGCCGAATTGAACCATACAATTGTTTAAAGCTTTTATAACAATATGTACTTACATCCATTAGCCTTTGTTGATTAAAATATAGCAGTTTATTACATTTCCAAATTTTTTATAAGAGACTGGAATGGAAATGAATTGCCTTGTTTAACATGCTGAACGTTTAAGCTGAGAGTACACAGTTAATAACATACATGTGTAGGGACCAGAGATTTCCCATATCACTGTAGTTGATATGGGGGAAAAAACCTGATGTCTTTGCAAGGCAGATCATAAGTGAATTTAGTTTTACATTTTCATATTGTCCATTTCCACTTTCTCTGCTGTAGAAGTGTCTCACTTTCTCTGAAGATGACTCTCTGTTTGAAGAAGAGGAGGAAGATGTTAAAAGTCCACTGCTGAAGGTTTAATTTTTTCCGTTCTTTTCACATTTTGATTCATCATATGCATTATGTTAATATAATGGTTGTTGTCCTTTCTCCTCTCAACTTTTCAAATATGTATCAAATGTCCCCAGAGTCCTCAGGCCATCGCTCCTGCCTCCATAGCTCCTCCCGTCTGCACAGAGTACCCAGCAGACTGGAGCCTAAAGACTCGCCTCCTCTTCACCTCCCCGCTCTCCCTTTCATGGTCAGAGCACCCCAAAGCCCAGGAGCAAGCTCTTGGGCTCAGCCAGCACTGCAGAGCTCAGTTTAGCCCTCTGCCACACAGTCTACAGGTAGAGTTTTTATTGTTCAAGAAAACTGTGTAGTGTCATGTTTGTTATGAATTTCCCAAAGCCACTCACTCAC